AGACTGAAATACAAAAAAATCATCCTTTTCATCTCATTTATATCATAGAGCAACTTTGGTAATCGTGAGCATCGTGTGTGCAGTTTACTGATGTCGTGTCAAATGATTTCTGAGAACTAAAGTTCAAATTCTCCAGACATAAACACATTAACCAAAAGCAACTCTAAAATCTTTGAAAGTGTGTATTCTAAGATTGGATACCAGAGTTCTGCTTATCATTTGCTCATTTATTATGATGTATTGAGTCCTTCTGGACCGGTGAAATGAATACTTAGGGGGTAAAATAAATCCAGATCCTCAAAAAGTAATAACACCATTCAATTAGGACAAATTACATCGATAAAAGATAAAAATCTGGGCATCACCTGTGTGTGGTCCATGGTCACCATGTGGTGTTGGTGTTTGAGCCTGATGGTGATGGTGGTGATGACGGCTGAGCTGATCAAGCCTCTGGGACACTCTCTTCAGCTCCCTCTCTACCAGGTGGGCCAAGCCTTGCTGGTCCTGTCTGAAGCTGGAAGACAAACAGAAACCCACATGTACCCACACTCTGTAGTGTATACACAAATACCTATGACACTGAATCATAGCTGGCTTCAACTCCTCTGAACCCCAAAATGTGCCAGCTGGTTGGAAAGGCATGGTATCCTGAAAACGATTGTCAAAATTATAGCATTTATCAGAGCCAGAAAACGTAAAAACAGTAGAGAATCATCAGCTTATTAACTCTACAAAGGTTCATGAACATCAGGAAGATTAATCAAACCCAAGTTTAAATTCAAGATATTTCATCACAATCATTTTATTCAATGTGTTTTATTTTAAAAATGTGCCTAAACTAAAGAATTTCCTCGAACCACTTTGATACATCTAAAAACCCATTAGTGACCGTTTACATGTAACATAAACTGTGATATTTTAATGTGTTTGGGCCTTTGGTTTACACATAAATGAAGCTACAAGTCACCAAAAACAATCATATCTAAAAACTCTGGCCACAGTGAAGATTTGGAAAACTTTACGTTTGCATGTAGAGGAGACAGAGTTTGACATCACCGTATGCAACAAAAGCGTCATCAGTGTGCGACACATGTTTACAGTTTGGCTACTGTAATAGAAATCAAGTATTTTACTTGTTTTGTACTCTAACACCACATCCAAACAAATGATCCTTGTGCCATTATCATTGAAGTAACAGGAAGGATTCATTCATTCGTTGTTGTGTTTTTCCAGGATTCTGATTGGCGAGCATGGCTTTGTGCTTCTCCTTACACTGCCTCCTATAGGTTTGGCATGCTCATAGCAGCTCTTAATGACGGGTTTGTGTAAACGAGGAGTTTTTTGAAAACCATCTGGTGTGAACAATGTTATTTTTGAAAACGTAGATCCGTTTTTGTAAATGCTTGGCTATGTGTAAATGCGGTCTTAGTTGCAACCAGTCGTCATGTGACAGATATTTCAGGATGAACTCGGCTGAACTGCAGGCTGTGCTTACACAGAGCAGATAGAAGACAAGTATGAAAACCAATGACAAGTTAAAGCAGCTGCATATCTACTGAATGAGAGTCACACGTTCTTATTTTTCTTCCCAGTACTGTTCTCTCTACTTCTAGTCATGGTTGTGCTGGTTGCTAAAGGACAGGACATTATGTTGCAGTGACAAATGAGTCCACAATCAATATGTAATCAAATGTGCAAAACTCCTTGGAGCTCAGAGGGCTAAATAAACTGAGACGTATTAAAAAACATCAGTCACTGAATACCTCTGCAGTATCAAACTGAGATCATTTCTGGTCAGCTGGGTGTCATCTCTCTCTCTGCTCAGCCTCTGCACCTGAGTACTCAGAGCCTCCAAGCGAAGAGCCAGCCTTCGAAAGC